AAATTGGAATTTAAGACTCCTTGTCCTATTGTTTTCACTGCTAAGCACAAAAAGTTTGATCGATCTACATTATAAACACCCTTAATAATCTTAAACACCTCAATAAAATCCAGAAAAAACAAGTTTAGAGATTTTAGTCTCTCCTCATAGGACAATCCAACCATCCCAGGTATCATTCCAGTGACTCTTCTCTGAACCTTCTCCAACAATTCAATGTCCTTTTTGAGGAAGTGAGCCCAAAACTATACACAGTATTCTAAATGAGGCCTTACAAGTGATCTATACAGTGAAACAATAAAATCCGTTGTCTTGTATTTAATGTTTCTATAGATGCTACACAAAATCCTATTAGTCCTATTGCTAGCTACAATATACTGTTTATGTGACTTAAGTGATTTTTCGATCACAATACCAAGATCTTTTATCTTCAACCACAGTATTTAATGTATTCCCAGTTAAATTGTTACAAGAATTTGAATTGTGAAAACCTACCTGCATCACCTTACATTTTGGATAGTTTAACATCATCTGAAACGTATTGGCCAAACGCATCAAATGATCTAAATATAAGTGAAGTGGGAGGGTCTCAAAAATTAGAAAAGTGGGGAAAATTAGGTCTACTAGTAGATTTGTGCAATGGTCCATTGCACAAATAATTTCATTCAGTATATCAAGAAAGACTAAAATTCAACAAAACACTTCCTTCACATCTGCCTAGCTCTACTAGTATGCTGAATTATTTCCTTAGAGGTTATGCCTAACTCTCTTTATTTGCAGAATAGCTTCTTCAAACATTGCTGTCTCATTTGTCCTAAAACATAAACAGATTTCTGTGTTTCCAGTTTATGAACCACTTTGTATTTCATTTCATGTAGGTTTTGTGTGCATATCCTGTAGTGCAGTCCTGGTATAGGTTATTTTTAACTGTTTTTTTCAAGATAACTGTTATGCAAGAGTCACTTGTCAAATAGTATAATGTTTAATATTGAGGTTTAAACATTTCAGACCTTCTGTGTTGTTGCAAAAAAATGTAGCCAACTTGGATATGCGAGTTTAAATTTATGATAGGATTGTGTTTTGTTGAATTTATTTTAGTATTTCATTGTGCTGTCACACAAATCTGAATAGGGTGTATGTGGGACTGGTATACTAGTATAGCTAGATGGAAGCAACCTAGATTTTATATTTTGGCAATTGTTCCTTCACACTATGTGGACAACAAAATCCTTTGAAGCTCATTAAGTGTAGGATTGATTTCTGTACTTTTGTAAACCCAAAGAGATTTTATTATATAATATATTTGATATAAGATAATGTTTAAATCCAACTTTCCTCAGTTGCAATATAAAGCATTCTGTTTAACTTGGATAGCAAAAAAAAAAGATTCAAATTTCTAAAGTGTTTCATTTCCTATGACTAGTCTGCTATCGATATTGTAGTGATTTTCACCATAAGACTGAAACTAATTCTTAACAGAGAGACACAGTAATCTACACTTCTAGTGACCAGATGTAAAATAATTCATCTGTTTATTTAGTTAAAAGGAGAGTTGTCACGATGTGAGGCACTGAAGAGGCAGAATATCCAAAACTTTGTGGAGAAAATGAGAACAGAACTACTTAATTGGTGGAACAAGTGTTTTGTGGGAGAGCACGAAAGGAAGCAATTCTCTGCCTTTTATAGTGGTGAGGAACATTTTATCACCAATAATGTGTGCTTAGAGAAATTATTTTATAAATATTTGGCTATTTTAAAATGTTTTGCAAAGAAATTTTTGTCACAGTTGTGAAATCTTTTGAAACATTATTATTTATTCTGCAATTAAAGCATTATCACCACATTATTAAAAACCAAAGAAAGCTAACAGTATATATCAGGACTAAAACATAACTTGTTAATTTTTGCTTTAACATTAAGGTTTCGGGATCCACTTTTTCTTTTTTGAACAACATGTGTTTCAGTTTCCTTTAAGTACTTGAGGATCCAAGCATAAACCAGTGGTTTGCATGCCAGACTGTAGGTTTTGCAGTTTGTGTTCCATTTCTGACAAAAAAAAATTACTTCCACATTTTGGGGAAAGTGTCATATAAGAGTGACAGTCAAATCCAATTCTCTGATCTTGCAAGAGTTGGCAGTGGGTGATGTTGACTAGCTGCCTTCCTTCTAGTCTACTACTACAAAATTTGGTTTAGCTAGAACAGATAACCTTCATGTGGCTCTGCATAAAATTCAATAAACAAACAATAGAATGACCAGCAGTCAATCGAAATAAAGCATAGTCATTTTCTCGATATAGCAAAATCTGGATAGGAGAATTTTTATATGCATTCTGATGTTATTGTAATAGTTGATCATAATAAATTAAATGTAAAAATTGTACTTTTTTTATTTTACTTAATTTAATACTTGTCATGAACAAATATTCAGAATTAAGTTTAAGAAATAGTACCAGTTTTTGTGAACTGTACAGGGCTTGTATGGGTCTTTATAAACCATGAAGATGCTCAAGAGATTTTTAACGTCAGCTGATGGGTGAGTGATATAATATGTAAGTTAGGCAAGAGTCAATGGTTAGAATGACTAACAGTCAGTTAGTTGGTTCAGCACTGCAAGTTGAGTTTGTTTTCAATGAAGTAACAGAGATACAAGAAATAGTACCATATGTATGAAAAATTAGCAAATAAGTGGAATTTTTATTGAAGAGTTATTTGTGAAACTAGTCCTGTTAGTAGTTAGTGAAACTGTGCAAGTGTAGAAGTTGTAGTCAAAAAATGAAATACTTTTGTTATAATCAAGTGGACTGGGCTTTACATTACTTTTTACCAAATAATTCAAAACAACCTACGCAACAATAAAAACTTGCAACTTTATAATTTCTTTGGCCAAAAGATCATCAATTGAAGTGTACTTATAGCATATCACATTGTAAACTTTGGTCCACAATTAGCCATACTTAAAATAAAATTACATTAGTGAGTTTGTCTAGTGTGATCAGATTTATTTTAATTTCAATATATCCCCTGGGAGGAAAAAAAAACTGAGAATTATTTATTACAAAATGTACTCTGAAAATCATGTTGATTGAAGAAATATGAGTTGTTGTGTGACTTTGCATGTTTTTGCACTGTAATGGGGGAAGGGAGAGAAAAGGTTGTATGCACCATTTGGCCTGAAATATCAGCTTTGCATTTGAGAAATCAAAAGATTTGGTGTGTGACAGAAAATTCAGATTCTCCAGTTAACCAGTGCATATGTAAAAATTCAGGTACTTAGGTGACTGGCTTTTGAAAAACAACTTTATTTCATTATTCACATTAATCAAACTAGCATTGTATGGGGTATAATTTTGTGGAGTTAGTGCATAGTACATAGTGATTGTCCTGCTGTTTTGAGCTTAAATAAAAGTGAAGCTTTTGTGATAAATATGGAGATTTTCAGTCATTTAGAGACCATTGAAGTAATACTCAACATTAATAAAAATAATAACTATTAAACACATGGAAGAGAAAATAAATACTTACATAATGTAACATCTGAAACTGGTTGGTAGGAGTTCAAGACTGTTTACTTGTTTGGTAAATTTTGTGCAAAGTTACTCCAGTGCTATCCCTAATTTTAAAGTGACAAACAAGAAAAAAGGCAGTTAATCAACACAAACTCTTGGGCTGCTCTTTACCTCTGAACAGTGAGATTGGCCTTTATATTGTATACTCCCCACAAATTCTGAGTCTAGCACCAGGACATATCAGGTCTAATGGTTAATCCAAGACAGTGCAGAAATCAAAAAAAAACATCAAATAGTCCAGATTGAAAAAATAAAATCTTGTATTTCAAATATTACGTCCGGATGGGTGCATCTTGGCTGAAGGGCAAAATTGCACCAGTGAATTAGAAAAATTATAGAAAATAAACTTGTAGTTGTTGTTTCACACATTGACAAAAAAAAATTAGGATTTAATGCATAAATTTTTTTAATCACCAATTTGAATTTTGGGTTGACTTCAATGCACTCCAAGTGAAATCATTAGTGTTTGGGAAATTCCTAAATTTTCTGAACATCATACAGCATTCTTACCCCCTAGGAAGAAGTCATAATAACATTGAACAAAATAGTGCTAATTTGATGTTGCAACTTGAATACAAGTGGTTTTATCTATTATTAGCCAATTGACGTTTCTCAACCTCAGTTGTCATACATAATATTAATACAAACTTTGTATTTGTAGGTATGTTTTTGACCACTCTGCAGACAATGTTATAGGGGACTTCACCCCATATTTAAATCAGTGAAGTGCCATACTCTTGGATGTGTGTGGTTGGTTAAGTATTGATGTCCAAGGAAATTACAGAAGTGGTACTGAGATTTAGATCAGACCTTGATGGCTAATTTTTGACCTCTCTAGTTTTTTGTTCAAAGTAGGTCATCACATCTTTGGCAGTACAGTACTGTATTGTTGAACAGTAAATCAGACACTTGACCTATATATATACACTGTTAATGCTAACTCAGGGCACAAAATAAATGTGGGGTATTGTTTAAAATTTAAGATTTTTTTTATGTGACCAAATATGTTGACCTGCCAAATAATAACATAACAAATTGACAAACACTTCTTTTTCATTAATAAGTTACTTTAAACTTATCAAGATAATAATAAAGTTAACTCTCCAAGATGCAGGAAGAAAAATTATGACTAAGAACCAGCTATAAGCACGTTACACATAAGAATGGTTTACAGTAGAGCAGATATCTCATGTTTTCTTGTGAATACAGAAACTTTACTTGTTTAGTTAAGCTATTGTTCTTTATTAGAAACTTTTCTAAAAAGTAAATAACTGAGGAAAAACATTGTTTTTTCCCATAGTGATTTTCATTGTGCAGCATAACCTTGCAGTGTCCTCCTATGTTTTTGTAAAATGCATCATGCATATATTGGGTAAAGTGCCCTGCACCACTGAATGTGGGAGATATAATGTGATTGACATATTACTTACATTATTTTACTTTCACTCAGAAGTTGTGATTAATAACAGCTAATGGCGTACCAATTTTTGGAATAGTATTCCATTTTTACTTTCCAGTCTATATTGTATTTTTGTTACAAGTTTTTTGGTGTAGTGTATGCATAATAAGCTAGAAATTTTGTTGTTATTCTACAAAAAGATCACATAATAAATACGAGAAAAATATACTAATGAGTTATTTCCTGAAATGTTACTAATAGGAAAAATAAGGTGACTAACTCTTTTCGTCGTATGTAAGTCTCAACTGAGGTATGTAAGTCTCTGAACTGAGAATTCCATTAACTTGAGTAATTTTTGTAAAGATAATCAGAGACCATTGAAGGTTGATTTTCATTTTATAATTATTGGGTAACATTTGATATAGTTTTCGAAGAAATGTGGATACTATAAAATAATGTTTGCACGTTAAGTCACATGGTTTTTTATTTGTAGATGATTACACTGAAGAATTGCTGAACCTGCATGATATTGAAGTTCAGAGAATGAAACAATTTTATTATATGAATGAGGAGTTGTTTCAGAAAATAACAAAGAGACAAGAACTTTGGGAACGAATGATTGATTTTGAGGTAGGTTTTTATTTATTTTTTCAAACAATCAATGTGTAATAACTACATGTAGTTAGAAACTTACATGATGTATGACTAAAGAGAAAAAATGAAATTAAAATAATAGTATGCAAGTTTATAAAAAGTAATACATGTAGTAGAATCAGGGTTTAGCAATTTTATTAGCTGCAGTTAATTGTTAGGAAAAGTTTCCTTTGTAGTCCATCTCAGCTTTATTTCTTAGTTGTAAATAAAAGTATTTGCATATAGAATTCGCATAAAAAGGTTGTGAAATTTTTTAGGCTTTTACGTTTTAAGTAATCTTTCATTTAAGATCCATGGATGTTACTGTGAACACTTTTGTGATGTGTATAGATGTTTTTTTCTTATGAAGACTACATACAATTGCACTCAGTACTAATCATGTATTTTTTAATAACTATTAAGATCTTTAATTATGTAGATATAACGATCTTTGTGTGTATGATTAGCATCGTAATGTGCAGTTCAAGTGTGTATTATCATAAAAGTTTTTTTCTTAACAAAACAAAAGCTTTGGATCATCAGGTTTAATTAAAACTTAGAGTAGCAGTTTTCAATTTGTGGTCCATGGACTCCCTTCGGGTAGTTCATCGAAAGGTTGCACAGTTATGGAAAGGAAAAAGCAGCATAGGGTTACAGATCCCATTATGGTCCACCAAGATTTAAAAAAGAAATACAGGTGTCTGCAGACGAAAAAGTTTGAGAACCGCTGACTCAGATCATTGCATTATCCAGCAACAGTTAGAATTATAACAAAATGTTTATTCTGCTTACTTATAGTTTTTAGAGTGATAAAAGTCATACACCACATATTTTAATTGGTGTTTATTTACAGAAAAAAGCCAGTGATCCAAATAGATTCATCAATCGAGGTGGAGGCCTTCTGCAGGAAGAAAAAGAAAGAAAGAAGTTACTAAAGGAACTTCCCAAGGTATGTTTAGCTCTGTTTCTAATGAAACTATTGGTCTTTAAATTGAAGAGAAAAAAAATTGTCACTTCATTGATATTGTGAAAGATTAAGTGGTTTGAAGTGATGGTACATCTTTGTTTTGTAATATGTATTTATTTATTATAAGTATTGCCATGGTTTTGACACACACCGTTGGCAGTTGTCAATATTTGCATAAATACCTTACCTGCGGCCTGAACAACACAGTTAAACTTATGACTCTCTTGTTGCAAGTCAGATGACACAAAAAATTAACTTTTTCTGGAAAGGTTACATGACAGGACTTTCTGATGCTAAATTCTTCTATTCTACAATTACAAAAGAACACAAGATATGAGATTTTTGCATTTCAGAGAAAGGGAAATCTGTTATGTTAAGCCATTAAAGCAAGGAAAGGTATGATTCTAGCAGGGATAAAACAAGTTACTTTGTGATCAAATATCAGTGAGAGACACAAGAGGTAGTGAAGAAAGTTAAACAGCTTGTCGCTAAGTGTAACACAATAGTCCACCTTATCCAAAATAGGAACTTTTCATAGAACTGTAAACAAAATAATTTCAATGCATCTTAGTCTACAAAACTGATACAAGAACCATATCCTTAAGCTTCTCCCAAGGTACATAGCTGAATGAAAACAGCTGTCAAAGGTGTCTGACATGTGACGAATGGAAATATGTCATCACATTGGACAGAGAATGTGCACTTAAGTGCTTGGAAAAGTCTGGATAGTTTCTTATTATCCTGCAATGATACATCATTTCAAAATTGGGTAAGAGCATGTTGTGAAAGTCTTACAACGAGATTTATGATGATTACAGGTTAATGGCAAGTAAAACATCTCAAGCTGAAGAGTTGATAAAATGCCAAGGTTAAATTTGTATACTATCAGGCCGACATGCTGACACCATTGTACCGTGAAGAAGTATTATCTTTGTAACAAATCGATATCAATAATGTACTAGGCCTGTGAGAAAAGTATCCGACCTTATTTTTTTTGCGATAACCTGATGGATTTGAATCAAGCGCGCTTGCATGAGCCGATCTTGAACCTTTGTGCGCATGCGTGAATTTTTTCCTGCTTGTTGATTGCGTCAGTTGTTGGCAAGCAGCCATTGAGTGAGGTAGTGTGTAGTGCTCTCGTCGGTTTTTCATTGCAAGGAAAATGACGGAACGACTGGAGCAGCGCTACTGCATCAAATTTTG